GTACTATGCTACTTGGACATGTAATTATAGGTGGTGTAGTGTCCGCTGTGTGGTGGTTAAAAACAAAGAAAGAACAATGCCATATTCATTTCAGAAAAATAAAAATCATTTACCTGTAGAGTGCTCTTTTTGTCTGCTTAGAGAACGACAATGTCTTTTCAAAGTTGCTACAACAAATAGTCAGGAGGATCTCAACAACATGCAATTCCACATGAAACAAAACCACAAGTTAATTAGCATCTAATAAATATTGATTTTGGCGATGTATTACCCTGTGAGAGGAAATACCACAATGAATGCGCTTAGGAAATGCATAGCAAGCGTAGCCATGGACAACAGCATGAACTTGAGGAATGCTTTCATTCTTTGGAAACTCAAAGAATTTCAATGCCACTTCTTACGCAGAATTTATACATCCACCGGCGATGATGCACAATTTTGGATTTATTGTAAATCATAAAGAAAGGGGCACCAAGTCTTGACGGAAACGAGACTATGCAACCAGCAAGCCGGGCACACAGATCGATCTCCTGTATCATTCCATGTACATATAGCTCCATGTTGATACACATATACATTAGTAGTGGAACCAGTCCTGCCACGGTAACTAGTTTCAATCTTTTCCCTGGTGTTACATCATCCAAATTTCGTTTCTAAAAAGTTCCGCCAGAAGTCAGATTGTGAAAAGTTTTCATGAAACTCAAAAACATCATTCAACCGTTTCCGCAAAGCAGACGCAATGCAAATATGATTTGGTAATAAATACATAATTTATCACACACTAAACACATTCATTTTATTTTCAAAACTTTTAAACCATTGAAGTCAATAATTAAGTAAAATCAACATGATGAAAAGGAATACCCCGAGCAATGATCAAGGAGACCATGATTACAGTTCTTCTTAGTTTCATAGGTGTAGTTTGTACTTTACTACAGAGCTTTCTCTCTTTTTTTTCCACTGAGAATGCTACTGAAAAGAAAATTTACCCAGAAAGTTAGCACTTACCTGACTGGATCTCTACAGTGAATGTGCAAGTTGCAGTATTTCCTGCCGCATCAGTTGCCGTGTACTGTATTTGTGTAGTTGTGCCAGGTGTGAATGTAGTTCCTGAGGCC